ATCCTTACTTGAATATCTGAAACTCGTATCCACAATTCGGACACTGCACAAGTGTAAAGAGAGAGAAATGAAAAAGCGCAAAAGCACGAGTGCTAGCTTAGCTTATAGTCAAGAGAGTGTTTCTGCAAATTCTTGAAATGCTGTCTTAAAGCCAAAGAGACAAGAAGACTCACATTGCTCTGGACAATATCTCGTTGTGCCCACCATAGAAAAGCTCCCAAACCCAAAATTGGAACAATCACCACAATCAGCTGCAAATTGTAAGAATTTCAGTTCACCAAAAAGCTAAGACAGCACAATTAGATAACCAGAGACATTAAAAGATTAAGACTTTAGGGAGATAGAGAGAGAGTAATACCCAGACAGAGACAATAGCATCCAAAATCCAACCAAGCTGACCAGTCATAGAGAGATAAGTCAAACCAATAGCTAAAGCAAGGTTTCCGAGAATCCTCCCATTGCCGTTGTTATCTCCGCCATTAAACTTCAAACCCCTAACCCTAACCACCCGTCTTCTCCGGTTAAGAGCTTTCTCACTTGCTAGCATTCCAATTTCTCCCAAACCCATCAATCGCCGTCTTTGTCTATGCTCAATCAAGCAAGCTCTAAACCCCAACTTGTTTTGGAGCAGAGAAGGACCAAAGCTCCGTCCTTTCGCGTGTGATATGTTTCTGGGTACTTTGTTGAAACCATCGTGTATGGAGAAGTTACAAAGGATCATTGGCGGAATCGAAGCCATCGTCTGAATTTGGTTTTTCCCGACACAAAGCTCGAACTTTTGAAGGATCGACTTACACGACAAATGATATATTACACGACAATGATTTTTTTTCAGGTTAGATAAAGCACTAACAGTAATTTACTCATCGCGGGGATAGCTCAGTTGGGAGAGCGTCAGACTGAAGATCTGAAGGTCGCGTGTTCGATCCACGCTCACCGCATTTTTGTTTTTCCCCCATTTTTACTGAAACGCGTCGTTTTAGGCATGTCAGGAACAACAAGTTTTTTTTCCCTTTTTTAATTTACCATCTTCAAACGCAACGTTTTTGTCATGTAATGAACAAGCTACCTTTGACTTTTGAGAGAAGTTTGACTAGAAAAACTTTACGAGTTCAGACTAAAACTCATGTTGCATTATAGTTTGATGAGATTGAGTGAGAAAACCGATTGAATTTAAAATTTTATACATGTATTAAGATCGAGTGTAATAATATATTGCTCATATACGTTCACTTTTCGATGTATATACGACTTTTATAAATTTATGCGTTCTCAAAGCAAAAGTATCAAACGTACGTAGCCCTCTTCCGAAGAAAAATATTTGACTTTTAACCACCATCTTAACTCACAATCGAAAACTCATCCCCACACAATCTTCTATCTATCCATATAGACTCCACACTTCGGCCAAAAAATCGAGGATGGAGGTCCCAAAAACTTCATTGCTAATGATAATTTTCGTGGTAGTTTCATGTTTCTTGCATGTCAAGGCTTGGCATGGTCAAGACTTATTGTGGTGGCAATGCAGCTCCCCGATGCCAGCTCCGGTACATCGATTGTCCTGAAGAGTGCCCAACCGAAATGTTCCCCAACTCTCAGAACAAAATTTGTTGGGTTGATTGCTTTAAACCCCTTTGCATGGCCGTGTGTCGCGGTAATTATTTAACCACCATTTATTTTTTTGTAATTGATGATGGATCATATATGTAGATCAATGCAGTTTAAAATTAGAATTTATAGAATTTCATCATTTTAATTGATTTTTAGATTTTGAACATATGTTTACGATTTGGATATGATCTTTTGTAGTGGTAAAACCCAACTGCGAATCCTATGGATCAATCTGTCTAGATCCGAGGTTCGTAGGTGGTGATGGTATTGTGTTCTACTTCCATGGAAAGAGCAATGAACATTTTAGCCTTGTCTCGGAACCTGACTTTCAGATCAATGCTAGGTTCACTGGTCATAGACCTGCTGGCCGCACTAGAGACTTTACATGGATCCAAGCTCTCGGCTTCCTTTTCAACTCCCACAAATTTTCCCTTGAGACCATCAAAGTCGCCACTTGGGACAGCAACCTTGATCACCTCAAGTTCACTATCGATGGCCAAGATTTGGTTATCCCTCAAGAAACTCTATCCACTTAATTGGTAACTCTAAAAACTCAAATTTAACCCTATCATTTTTTTCTTTTAGGTTGAAATTGTTTAAAACGTCATTTTTTTCTTTTCGTTTAGATTTCCATGTAAACCATCAATCTATTAATCTTAATTCTTGAACCAAATTCATATTATCAGGTACTCATCCGACAAAGACATCAAGATTGAAAGGTTGACACAAAAGAACAGTGTGATCGTGACTATCAAAGACAAAGCTGAGATCATGCATGGTCAACGTGGTTCCGGTGACCAAAGAAGATGACAGAATCCACAACTACAAATTACCTGTAGATAACTGTTTTGCTCATCTTGAGGTCCAGTTCAAGTTCATTAATCTGTCCCCAAAAGTCGACGGAATCTTGGGACGCACTTACAGACCCGATTTCAAGAATCCGGCTAAACCAGGAGTCGCAATGCCAGTAGTGGGAGGTGAGGATAACTTCAGGACATCTTCTCTGCTGTCTCATGATTGAAAAACTTGTCTGTTCTCTGAAGATCCCGCCGTTGCGAGTGGCTCTAACAAGCCCAAAAGTACATACATATTGTTAGATTGCAGCCGTGGCGCATCTTCCGGGTACGGACTCGTCTGCAGGAAGTAGTTACCAATCCAAACTCAATTTGCTAAATAAACAGATAATAAAAGTATATTAATTGTTATGTTTTGTGTAAGGTTACTTAATATGTTTGACCAAATAAAACAGATTCGTAAGCTAACTAAGAACCAAAGTCTATAGAAAATAATTATAACTCAGTTATTTACATGGACCAAACTATTAATCCTTTAGAAAACCTTTATCTTATTGGTATGTTCCATTCGTTATGTTTCATATACGCAATAATCATTTAGAGCCTAGCGTAATTTGATAAAAAGGTTATCTTCTATTTGAACACTGACTTCAAAACCCAGCTTAATTAGGATCGGATATTAAAAGATGTTAAGCATCACACCCTAAGATCCGGATATTAAGATATACAATGTAATTGTTGTTTTAAGATTTCCAAAAGTCAAATTAATAAAATGAGCTGCTTAATTCAACAAGATACAATGCTCCTAATTAATATATCGTATATACAGAGTAATGACCGATAAGTGTGGATCACGCTCGTGTGGACGTAACTTCTAATTCCTAAAGACGTTTTTATTTATTTTTGAAGTCTCAAGTTTGTAAAGTCATATAGATTTCAACTTAATGAATGTGTCATGTGTGGGTGATGTCCAGATAAGGCACACAAACCCGGAACTCCCATCTTGCAACTTGAAGTCATAGAGTGGCGTCTATATATTCACAATCAACACTTTTCTTCTCATATCTATCGACACATTATAAACAGTAAAAATAGACTAGATATGAAGTTCTCAAAGACCTCTTCGCTAATGCTGATTTTTCTTGAGGTCATGTTATGTTTCTTGCGAGCCAAGTCACAAGGAGTTTACTGCAGCAACCCTTATGAACGATGCTTCCAAAAGTACATATTGTGTCCGCAAGAATGTCCCACCACCGGTGCCGCAAACTCTATGAACAGAGTCTGTTACGTAGACTGTAGTAAACCTCTCTGCAGCTCCGAGTGTCGCAGTAAGTGAAATACTTTGAACTTTTTGTATTAAGACTTTTTTATATCTAAAGCTCAAATTCTTTTTCATCATTTTAACATGGTTCTCTTAGGATTGGGTCCAAACTGCTATAAACCTGGATCGGCCTGTCACGACCCGAGGTTCATAGGTGGTGATGGGATTGTGTTCTACTTCCACGGAAAGAGCAATGAACATTTTAGCCTTGTCTCGGACCCTGACTTTCAGATCAATGCTAGGTTCACTGGCCACAGACCCGTTGGTCGTTCTAGAGACTTCACTTGGATACAAGCTCTTGGCTTCCTCTTCAACTCTCATAAGTTTTCCCTGGAAGCCACCAAAGTCGCCACTTGGGACAGCGGCATCGACCATCTCAGATTCTCTTTCAACGGCCAAGAATTAGTTATCCCTGAGGAAACACTCTCCACATGGTAATTATAGCCAAATATCATGTTTTATGAACACCAATTTTGAAGTTTGCATTTACATATGAAAAAAAATAGTTTAATTTTTCTAATATTCTTTATTTTTACTAGTTGAGAATTTGTTACTTGAAACCTACACCAACCACATGTGCTTTTGAGTAGGTACTTGCCAGAAAAGGACATCAAGATTGAGAGAACAAGAAAGATGAACAGTGTGACCATAACGATCAAACATAAAGCAGAGATCATGGTCAACGTTGTTCCCGTGAATAAAGAAGACGATAGGATCCACAGCTACAAAGTTCCTTTGGATAACTGTTTTGCCCATCTCGAGGTCCAGTTCAGGTTTTTCAACTTCTCCCCAAAAGTCGATGGAATCTTGGGACGCACTTATAGGCCCGATTTCCAAAACCCGGCTAAGCCTGGAGTCGCAATGCCAGTGGTTGGAGGTGAAGATAACTTTAGGACATCTTCTTTACTATCTCATGACTGCAAGACTTGCATTTTTACTGGATTAAGTGGCTCAGTCAAATGGGAGACCAAAAAATACGCACTGTTGGATTGCGCTCGTGGGGCGTCTTCCGGATATGGAATCATTTGCAGGAAGTGATTTTTTTCCCGAAAGGGTTATCCTAACTTTCCTTGGAGAATAATAATAGCAAGAAAAATGTGTAATTTTTTTATCTCTGTGCATTTATCCAAACCATCCAATGAAATTGGAGTATAAATAATTGTGTTTAAGCAGCTAAAGTGATATGCGACAACGCATGATCAAATAAATACATTTGTATCCAAAGTTTGTGTGTAAAGTAATTCGTTTTGTGCAAACGATATCAACACAACCGGTTTAAGAATATTGGTAACCATTTATTTTTTCTACGTTGAGAAATAATTTCAACGAATTGAAACATTACACATTTTTCGGCCCGTTAAGTTGGATCAAACTAGTCTCCAGTCCAGCCTTTTTCCTTTTCTGGAATTCTAAGCCTCACCGAATCGGTAAAGCCCATAAAAATCCCTATTTATTATTTACATCAATTGCCACTCTACCATCTCCAAGGCTTTTTTTTTGTTCTTTACTTTTTTCACCCATCAGTAATTACTCTCTCTCTCATTGCCTAAACTCGAATGTTTGACCCGAAACACCAAACCCGCTCGAGCTATACCCGTAACTCTGAGTCAACCCGCCCGAGTTCTGCTGCTGATTCACGTGTCCACTCTCCGCCTCCCCTTCCGCCGCTCGAAACGCATCGTAACTACCGTAACTCGGTAATCCGTTGGTCGGAGCTAGCTCTGGGATTGGATTAAGACCTGCCAAGCTAGCCCAATCAAAGTTCCCGTTAAGAAGCGTCCTGAGCGAATTCATCCGAGGAAGATTAAAAGACTGGTCTTTTATCTCCGGGAACGAATCAAGAACGTCGTCAAGCTGTGACGAAGAAGACGATGACGACCCATTCGTGCTATGCTCTTCACGACAAGCTTGAACCGGAGTAACAGCCTGTCTCTGAGATCCAGATGTTTTCTTGTAAATTCGACACAATACCCAATCATCCAACTGTAAGAAAGAAGCAAAATTTAGTTGATTTTGATTTCAGTTTTATCGAATTCGGATCTGGGAAAGTTTCAATCTTTATTTACCTTGGAGCTTTCATGGCTACGAGAATGCTCGATTAAGCGATACTCATGCATAATCCAGTTTGTTTTAGTGCCTTTGGGAGCTTTTCCGGCGTAAAAAACCAGAGCTTTCTTGATCCCGACACGACGACCATCCGCCGTGATAATTTTGTCAGTACCCGTCGCTTTCCAATAACCAGACCCGGCTACTCTATTGGGTCTTGACCCGTTCGGATATTTCCGATCTCTCGGGCTAAAGAAATACCATTCCTTTTCTCCAAACAAGGCTTTACCTGAAAATTTACAATAATAGTCCCTTTAGTTTTAACATTTTTCCTAATTGAAACCCAAAAGTATAATTATCAAAAATAACACCCTAGAAGAGTAAAACATGTTTGCTTACTTGGCAAATCCCAAGGATCGAACTTGTAGAGATCGATGTCTCCGATGACCTGGAGAGAGAAATGATAGCCTGCAACTTTCCGACATAGATACTGAACAAGAAGTTCTTCATCTGTCGGATAAAATCTAAAACCCGGTGGCAAACTCAATTGGGCTAACGGATCCTTCTCTCTAACACCCATTTATGCTCTTCTACTTCAAATCCTCAACAACCAAAAAAAGATTTCAAATATCGAACTCTAAAAACCCAAATATTTGTTTTTATGTTCGTCGATCTTTTGGACATATGGCAAGTAGTTGGTATATATAGGCTATGGAAAAGCCAAAGGTTCTTCAAGGATAAGTACGGTCGTCCTTGTCTTACTGTTCTAAAATCTAATTACGATTTTCTCTGTGGACCCGTTTAACCATTGAGATACTGCCACGTATATGAACTGGCCGACCTTATCAATGTGTTATACAATATTTTCCCAGCGATATAAATGTGCAAAAACACGAGGAAATTTTTCTCATGTGTAAGAAATTTGTGTACTACGACTAGATTATGAGAAATGTCTCTCAAGTGATTGCAGTAATTTGAGAGAATTTGATTGCAGTAATTTATTTTCTCTTTCTAAATATTTACTAGAAATATCCTAATTATAGTAAGTTTTTTCCACTGAGAAATCAATGAAGCTTTACCATTTCTATATTCGACTATATGATTGTATATTGGTGCCGTTCGGGTGCATGAACCGTCAGAAAAAAGCTGTTTATCGACACGTGTCAAGCCAGTTGTCTTTTCTTCTAGAATTCTGATCAAAAGCCTAACAACGATGTGTATTTATCAAAATGCTCCAAATAATTGGAGACCAGTTCGATATTTTTTTTTTGTTCCTAATCACTCTCACTACATTGGATTGGAGTGAGAAAAAGAAAAGAAGAAGCACTAACTATTTGACAGATGAATCTATTGAGTAAAACAAATGGCACTAAGACCATCAGCAGTGGCAAATGTATTTGTGTGGATTTAAGTATTTTTTTAGTATTATAATTTAAAGCAAAAAAGAAAAGAGAAAGAGAAAGAAAGAGAGAGATAGAGAGAAAAAGTGTTACACCCGAGTGTAAACTTACACCCGGGTGTGAAGAAAGAGACAATTTTTTCGTTTTTTTAATATCTATATCCCAAGATTTACACCCACCTGATTGTGCGACTGCTGATTAATAGAGACGATTTTATGAACAAAAGAGTATTAATCAGACACGCGTGGAATGCATTTTCCCGTTCGTGTGAAATGTACACGTGTTGGGAGAGTTAGGCAAGACTTCAATAAAAGAACAAAAAAAGAAGAAAAAGTAATAATAAAAGAGCAGAAAATATTGAACAAGTGTACAAACTACAAATTCTAACTAAATTATAGTATTGAAAAGATACGTTAACATGAGACACGTATATAGAGGAAATAAGAACACCAATACTTTTGTAATATTTATTTCGTTAATGATAATAGTATTTGAGAAAATATGATCGTCTTTATTATACCATTGAGAATGTCTCACAAATGTAGTAAGTAGTGTGATCTTTGTATTTGATCAAAAGATAAATTTCCAAATTTTATCAGAGCTAAATTCGATTTATTTTTATTATCTCATAAAAATTTCTTTATATATTTTAGTTTATATTAAAATAAAAAGATTAATTAGGGTTTCGTTCACTCAAGAAATACGTTGACAAGTGAAAATTTGGACCATCCTGGACAGGTCAGAGAAGCCTTTATATAATACAACGTGACGCGATTCAAAGAACTCGATTCTTCTTCTTCTTGATAATTCTTTTTTTCTTTTCTTAATTATTATTATTCTCTAACTTTCGTTTTCAATTGCTTTTCGGATTTTAGATTTTAGTGAACGTGGAGAATTCTAGTTCATAGAGAGATGGGCATGCTCACCCATATCTTTCATAAAAATAATAATTTATGAATATCAGCAAAGATACGACAAGTTTGGTTCAACGATTTGTATAACTGCAAAATGTGTTGATAAGAAACTCAGCAATTGCTATTCAATTAGCGTATAATATTCTTATGATTCTGACAAAAAAAATATTGTAATGATATAGTTTTGAAGAAAATGAGGTAAATAACGGATAACCATAATTTAACTTGTTCAAAACTTCAAACATTCGTCTCTATTTTTTTTTTGTTGCAATAGCATTTATATACTTTTTTTACAAAAGTACATTTTAAATGACATAAATTTACCACTTTTGTGCTAAAAATCGTTGGTGACATTTAAATCATTATATATGCAGGCTTCTATGTATGAGTGAGTTGTACACGTATATGGTCTGTTTCTAAAGTATGTTTTTCTCTCTCAATTGTTACATGTTTGTTAAAAAAAGCTTTAAAGGAGATAAGGTGATCAGTGATCACGAAGGTTTACCAAAAAGAAAAGGAAAAAAAAAGGCATTATGCTTTCTAAATGCATCGCCTATGCAATCTACATTTGTACATAATTAATTCGACATAGATAAGGAAAACCTGGACTACATAATTAATTCGCCATTTACTCATAAATGACTTAGTGATGACTATTCCATTCTGAATTTTAGACTCCCCTAAAAAATTGTAGATTCTTAAAGTAGGTGCTACCTCCTACACCTACAATTTTTTAAGTGTAAAATAGGTGTAGATCATCAAAGTGCTATTCACTAAGTCTAAAATTCAGAATGGCACTACGACTAGATTAGATCATCAAAGTGCTATTCACTAAGTCTTAAATTACTGCAATTAGTTTAAGAATCTATAATTTACTAAAGCTTTGAATGGTTGGTAGGTATGGTGCGGACCGGACAATGCATACCAATATTTTAGTATGCAAAATGTCGAACTGTAGTATAGAGTAAACAATTGTATGTTGATATGAAGTTTATGTTAAGTAGAATGAAAAATGCGGACCAACAGTGAATTTATGATGGTATGGAGAAGTATGTTAATTATAAAGTGCATAATAGTATGAAGATTTTTAGTATGTAACAGTGCATACTAGTCCGGAATAGTGAATGGTGAATTAAGTGCGGAATGATCCGATTTTAGTTCGGTATGCAACATACTATACAACCATTTAAAGCCTAAGTATAAAATTACTGCAATCACTTTAAAAAATTATAGGTGTAGGAGGTAGCACCTAATAGTCATCACTAAAATAGATATTGATGATTGTAAAATTGTAAAATAGCAATTTATGAGTAAGAATTGTATGACTTAGTGACTTAGTGATTTAGGTGTAGGAGGTAGCACCTATTTTATGAGTAATTTGATCATCAATAGTGACTTAGTGATTTAGGTGTAGGAGGTAGCACCTATTCTTAAAGTAGGTGCTACCATTACTCAAAAATATAAATTGAAAAAAAAAAGTTACAAAGTAGATCACAATTCTTTAAGTGTAAAATAGCAATTTAGCTAAAATTCTTTTGAAATTATTGAATTATTTTGTTCGTATGTATATATGAATAGCAACATACTCCCTCCGTTTCACATAGAATGTCGTTTTAAGGTTTTAATCTCGTTTCACAAAGAGTGTCATTTTGTGTTTTCAATGTAGTTTTAAAGACTAATTCTCTTTCCTATCCCTCATATTTCAGCTTATTAATTAGAGAGAGTGTTTTTTAGTGTATTAATTAATTAGAGGTCGAAATGAAATTCGTTTACTTTTCTTAATTTATGTGAAAAATGATAGAATGACACTTTTTGTGAAATAGAGGATGTACAAAACAATTAGTTGGTTTAAATATATAAAAAATATAACAAAAACTACATACGAAGAGAAACGCTAAGATAACCCTGTTTATGTGAATTAGCTTTTTATATTTTCTCAAACGCTGGATGTCTTGTTTTTGTTCATCTATTTATTTTCAACACATAAAAACATTACTTTGCTAGAAACTAAAAAAAAATTGGTGAATTTTTAGGGTTTTGTCTGGAAACTAATTTAAATCATTATTCTCCTAACACCACTTACTATGATATCATTGGGATCGGAGGCTTGGAAGCCCATAGTACGTTTACTATGCACCACAAATTCGTCAGCAGCTCGAATTCAATTTCTTCATATGACTTTTAAATTAAAAGTGAGATAATTAAAAACGCGTGAGCTATAAATAAATATCTTTAGATGTACGAATTAATGAAAATTGGAATGATAACGTGTAAAGTGTGTTGGACTGTGAGCACATACCAATAAGCAAACATGAATTTGGCTTTGAACTTTCCTTTTATACACACAGAACATGTTCTTCATATTATGCCTACTAAGATTCTGATATAACTTGGACCACTTGAGACGGACCAAATCAATCTCTCAAATTATATAATTGACTTAACCAAAAAACAATAATGCAATAAGAACTTATTGCTGTTATACATTAGTTCTTACTCAAAAAAGCTCTAAAATCAAAAACAAAGAAAAAGTGGAGATATAACTAAGTATCAGCCAGATTTGGTCTTACCAATCCTCGTCAAAGCGATATAAGCAATAACTCTATAAACAACAAGCATCGCAGTCAAAGCTAAGGCAGAGACCAATCCACTATTAAATCCTATATGCTTGATACCTTCAAAGTCACCAACATGACACCTCAATATCCCATTTTCGCCACATGGATACCACTCATTCGCCGTGTACTGACCTAATATCAGTAGTTTATAGGTATAGTAACCTATTGATACGTATTTAATCCAAGAGATGAACACTGGGACATGTTGAACGTAGTATCCTCCTGCTAACAAAAATGTGAGCATTATGACTGACCCGAGTGTCGTGGCTGTCTTCTGGTCCATAACTAGGGCGCCTAGGGCTAGTCCTAGCCCACCGGAGACAAGGACATGGACGAGGAGGACCAAAAGGGTCACAAAAAAGTTTGCGAGGTTATGGTTTAGACCGGCCATCCAATATGTGATGACAAGAAAACAAGTTGGTAAAATAAGCTCCATTGGTAGATCCCCGACTAATCGGGACATGAAGTAAGGCGAGAGCCTGTACACGCCCGAGGAACGTTCTTTCTGGAGCATTGCTCGCTCTTGAGGAAATGTGAAGATTTGTTGGAAGAGAGGGAAAAATGCCCAGAAGGATGATATAAAGAACAACAGCCCTATCTGCAAAAATAAACCACAAGTATGGTCACCTCACGGATTTACACATTGATGTTGGCAAAAGTGTGTAATTAAAGCTAATACCTGATCTTGTAAACGAGAAATTTTCGTTTGCCACCAAAGAAGACCACAGAGGATAGAGACGAGGAATATCTGAGCAACTTTCATGCCAGAGAAAGAATCGTGACGCCTTTGCTTAAGGCCTCTCTTCAAAAGAACACAAAACTGCTGCCACCACGTCGTTGGCCACTCTCCATTAGTATTGGTCGCTCCACGAGGACTCTCTATTGGTTTGTTACATAGATCATCTTGTCCTTTAACCTCATTGATAACATTGTCCAACAGGTTTGTCTTGTAAAACGCAACTAGAGCTGCTTTCATAGCCTCTGGTCTTTGGGATTCATCTGATCCAACACCTATAGGTATAATATATCCATGTGAGAATCAGTAAGGAGACACAAACGCTATAATATGAAGGCTTACTTGGCCAGCAGGATATCACAAGGAGAGGCTTACCGTTTGCGATGTCCAAGAGAAAATCCGAGGGATTAATCCTTTCAACTGAGGGGGAGCATCCAACGCTAGCAAAATAATCCATAGCACTGGATCCAAGCCCGAAGTAGATCGGATTACCTTCTGAAAGGAGCAGAAGCTTATCAAACATATAGAACAACCTACTAGAAGGTTGATGAATTGTGGTCACGACCGTTCTTCCACCACGAGCCAGTTCCCACAAAATCGACACGATCCTTTGAGCAGTGGTAGAATCAAGACCAGAAGTAGGCTCATCAAGAAAAAGCAAACTAGGGTTTATAAGAATCTCTTGCCCTATACTAACTCTTTTCCTCTCACCACCGGAAACACCTCTCAAGAAGGGTCCTCCAATGATAGTGTCCTTACATCTGTCTAGACCCAATTCAGTCATGACTACCTTAGCTTGTTTGATCTTCTCTTGTTGTTTAAAAGAATTAGGAAGCCGAAGAAGCGCGGTGAAGACTAGAGTTTCTGTAACAGTCAAGTTAGGGTAAAGAGCATCATCTTGAGTCACGAAACCGGTCCTTCGCTTCACAGCTTTGGATAATGGCTTGTTGTTGTAAGATATGTTCCCAGTGAGCTTCCCTTTCCCTTCCCCTACCCGTCCTCCGAGAGCCGTCAACAAGCTGGTCTTACCGCTCCCGGAGGGACCGAGCATAGCCAGGATCTCCCCAGGTTTGACGATCCCTGTTAAGCCCTTCAAGATGGTTCGCTCCTCGGTTTTGTCATTCTTTCGGAACCAGCCTTGTGGTTCCTTCAGCTTCACCGTGTACACAAGGTTCTCAAACTGCTCCAAAACATCAAGAACAAGATTGAATGAGCAGATCTTTCTTACGAAAACACATAAACACTTGCTATTATCCATTACTTAAAATGATTATAATAATATGTATATGCCCTAAAATATGAAAAGTTCTCATACTATTCGTACACAAATCAACACTTTTAACCTAATGAACCACTGTGTGTTCTCTGCATATATAAACCTTATAGTATGTATCAAGTAATAAAATTATCTATAAACAGACATACCTTTAAGGTAACAGGAGTATTAGCCTTTTTAAAAATTGAAAAAGGAAGGGATCGATCATCGTTGGTCTTCTCGATCGGGGCTTCAACATCCATAGAAACCTCTTGACTATCCATTACCAACAATGATCGATATATAAACTCTTAGTCGCAGATAACTAAGGATTAAAGCTGAATCAATCGAAACGAAATCAAATATTTGTTCTTCCACAAATTAAGGAAGTATTTGATGAAGTTGAATCGAGAAGGAGAACAATTGATGATAGTATCTTATTTTGTTGGCTTTGGGAGTTCTAGAGACAGAACAAAACTAAAAACTCTAAAGTCTTTTATTTAGCTAAATAAAAATAAATTAGGGTTCACGTAAGGCAAGTGAGAGAGAGTTTTAAGGATATATAGAAGGAAGATTCTTTAGAGAATGCTTCTGTTACTAAGCACGCTTTTA